AATGTCCCAGGAACTGATGTGATACCAACTGACATATTTCAACAAACAGATGCACCCATTTATGTGCTCACCAGTCTATGCCAATAAATCTAGAGAACAACTACCTGGCCAACTGACTAGAAAAGAGATATTTATTACCATTATGCAAAAGATGATCTGATAGAGTGTGAAAATTATCAAACAATATCACTAATATTATATGCAAGCAAAGTCCTGCTGAAGGCTATCCAAAAACTACTGAACAGTACATCAACAGAGAACTACTAGAAAAAAGCTGGGTTTAGAAGAGGAATAGTAGTACTAGGGACATCCTAGCCAATGTCAGATTGATCTTGACTGAAAATCAGGAGTACCAGAGGAATGTTTATCTGTGTTTCATTGACTATACAAAGAGATTTGACTGTGTGGATCCTAACAAACTGTGGCTAACCTTGAGAAGAATGGGAATCCCAGAACACTGGATCGTTCTCACGTAAAACTTGTACCAGGAAGCAGTACAAGCAGAACAGGGCAAGGAAACATTGCTTAGTTACAAAAACAAAATAGTAATGCATCAAGGATGTGTCCTTTCTCCATATTTTTTAGTGTATATGTAGAACAGATCATTCAGGAGGCTAGATTTTATGAGAAGAAATGTGGCATCAGAATTGGAGTAAGACTTCAACAATCTGCATTATGCAGATGTTACAACCTTGTTTGCCACAACTAAGGAGTACCTGAGACATTTGCTGCAGAAGGTCAAGGACTGCAGTTTCCATGAAGCTCAATATCAAGAAGATAAAAATTTTCGTCACTGAGCCAGTTGGCAGCACCATGATAGATGGAAAAGAGGTTGAAATTGTTAACAATTTTCATTTACTTAGTTCTACAGTCAACACTCTTAGCACCAGCAGCCAAGAACTCAAAAGATGAATTGGGTTAAGAAAATCTGTTCTCCAAACCCCTCCAGATTGCTAAAGAACAACGATATCATTCTAGATACTAGGGTGCACCCAATCCAGTCCATGATCTTTGCAATTACTTGCTACACATCAGAAAACTGGACAATGACTCAGGATGATGGGAAGAATTGATGCCTTTGAGTGTGATGCCAGAGAAGAGTATTAAACATACCATGGACTGCAAAAGATAAAACAATCCTATCCTGCAGATGGTGAAGCCAAGTTGTTCCTCAGAGGCAAGAATTTTGAATCTCTGTCTCATATACTTTGAGCATGTTTCCAGGAGGAACTATTCATTTAAGAAGGACATCATTCTTGGAAGAGTGGAGGGACAGCACAAGAGAGGAAGAGTCAGGATCATATGGATTGACACAGTAGCAGATAATAGGGAGTAGTTATGTCAGACACAGAGAGACTGGCTCAAGATAGAGTAGGATTCAGAGCTATTGTAGATCGCATCACTATGAGTCACAGTAGACTAGATGACTCGACCCCAGTTACTGTGTCAATCCATCTCATCCAGGTCTTTCTCTCCTGCACTGTACCTCCATTCTTCCAAGAATGATGTCCTTTTGCAGGGACTGGCCCCTCGTGGAAACATGCCCAAAGTGTGTGAGATGGAGTTTCAAAATCCCTTTCTCCAAGGAGTAACTTGGTTGTTCACCATTTCTAGAACAGACCTGTTTATTCTCTTGGCAGTTCATGGTATGTTCAGTACTCTTCTCCATTACCACAAATCAAAGGCATACAATGATTTTTTTTTAGTGTGCATCAACATGGCAAAGCTTAAAAATCTGAAAGCACAGTCATAACTCAACTGAAACTCAACCCATTGCTGTTGTGTCTGAACAGATTAGTATTTTACCCTCCAGAAGGTTTTGGAGGCTGTAAATCACACAAAATGTGATTGCTCATCGTTCCCCCCAAAGCCACTGGGGGATTCAAACCAGCAAAAAGTGTTCTTTTAAAGTTAGTAGCACAATTTCCTATGGACTTGGTCACCAGAGTTCCCTGACAAATAGAATAGTCAGTACAAATGTAAAATGTAAATTAGAATAGTCAGAACTAATGTAAAATATCAAATTGTGCAGGTCAAAACTAGGCAGGCTCTTTCCTCTTCATGATCGTTTCTTGATGTATTTGGTGCCACTGGTGTGGGTTTGTCAGAACTCTTTTCAAAACCTGCAGCAGAAGCACAAATACATCCCAGAAAAATGTCACCCTCTATCTCAGGGATAGGCTGCGGAATGTGTGTTTGGAGCAGGAATTGCTTTTGAGAAAAATGTTGGTTTTATGATTTTGAAAAAAAAAATAAAAGAGTACATTTCAAAATGGTGTTGTACACTTGTAGAACTAACTAGTTCTTCCCTAGATTCTACACAGCATTTAGGAGTCAAGAAATGGCTGGGCTTGACCCAATATTCAACTCTGGGAAGGGGAAGTGACTTACTGTCTGAGTGAACTATCAGTATCAGAGATTCGACCTTAGATGTATATAGAGTGTTGCTTCTCTTGTCGCTCCATTGCCCGCATCCCTACTTTTTGTTAACCTTTGTCAAAAAGAGGCCTTCAACTGCACTAAGCCTGACATAAAGTGAAGAACAAAGTTGAGAAACAGAGATTTGGGGTCAGCCCATATCTCTGAACATTTAGAGGGCAGGTCCTGGACCTGCTTTGTCAACCTCAAGCATTCAGCGAATCCCTTGTGGCCAGAAGGAGCTGCCTAGAGTCTGCAAGTGGCTCTCCCTGCTTTCTGGCTGTGATTGTAGTAAAGAGGGCACAGATATCCCCACAGCGAGAGAGTTCTGGTTTTGGTCTTCTTGCCCCTCCTGCTAGAAGACAGAATTTCCTCATAGGATTTCCAAGACTATAAATCTTTATGAAAGTCATCTGTCACATCTTTTCCTGCAGATCTGCTATGGATTTGAAGCCCCAACCTCAGTTAATAGCCAAGCTCTGTTTTGTTTTTAATAATTTTTTCTTTTAATTGTGATTTTAATGAAAGTTTACAGAAAAGTTAGATTGTCATTCATTCATTGTTGCACATTTTACAGCCACGCTCTTAAACCACAGCAAGCGAGTGCGCACACATCCCCCATCCACTGTTGTGACTCGTAATGGGAATGAGATTTCACATCTTTCTCTTGCAGAATGGCTGGTGAGTTCCAACAGCATGTATATAATACATACACTTCTCCTTTGCCTTTTCCTTGTTTGTTTAAAGTCTATCTAATATATCTTCTTCCAATCAAATATAAACTTTATGAAGACATAGATTTTACTATTATTGTTTATTTTGCTGATTGTCTAGGGCCTAGAATTTTGCAGATTACTTGGATAGATAATTGTGAGCTCAATAAATATCTGGTAAAAGACTATTATAGTCAATTTCCTTTCTGTGGAGGTGATTCGGACTCATGACAACTCTCCATTCGGTTTCAGAGGATGTAAATCTTTTTGGAAGGAGACTGCTCATCTGTTTTCCAAGAAGCAAATAGTGGATTCAAACTGCTCATGTTTTGGTGAGCATTTCCACACTTTTAATGCTTACTTCAACTAGAATCAGACAAATATATTATGAAGTTCTTAAGATATTTTTATTTGAATAATAATCTTAATATGTTTGGCATTTATTCCTTATTCTATATTGTAGGTTTTTACTGTATGTATAACAGACAGATCTTAGAATTAAAAAGGTCACGTCTTTTGATCTTTAAATAATTTTTATGGAGCTCACGTTTCGTGATAAACAGAAATAATAATTAAATAAATAATTGGATAAATAAAATCCTGCTTGATGAAAGTCAAACACAATTCTTTTTGTTCATGAGATTACTAACTTTCAAATTATGACATAGTAAATCAAGGATCATCTTTGACACCCTGTAAAGAGATCTAGACTTGGAACTTGGGTCTCTGAGTAATGTTGCTCATTAGCTGTGCCCATAACTTGCAATTGTGCATTTCGATTAAAATAATCTAGCAAATATAGCTCATAGTTGTGGCTAATGTTATGTTCCATCAAGTTAGAACTGTCTTATAGCTGAACCTCTAACAAGTTTTCAGAAACTGTAAATTGTATAGGAAGAGTTTGTTTATCTTTCTCCCTTGGAGCTACTGGTGGATTTGAACCACCTGCCTTTGGGTTAGCAGTAAAGTTCTTTATTCATTAGGCTAGGAGAACTAATATATGGATGCTAAATACGTTAACTCCCTCAAAAAAAGTGTGGGACTGCTTAAATACATAGCAAATTGTTTCCTAACCATATACAAGAAATTGCCAGTATTACTAATTTAAATATGAAAATAAAATTATTTAAATATATCTTAAAAGCAAAAAGAACAACACACAGATTATATAAAAGCCTCTTTCTCTTATTAATGAAGTCATGAGTATTCCTGATTTATAATATGCCCTAGGTAGATGATAGTTATTATTATATGAAATATTTATACCCTGCTGTTCTGAACATGAAAAGAAATTTTTCCTTTTCCTCAGTCTTATTTTAAAGGAAAGATTCTTGTTTTAATAAGTGTTTACACAGTCATGCTTTCCCCCATCTTAAAAAAAAAGATTTTTTCAGAATATTATAAAACTAGAGAGTATCTTTTTCAATTAAAACTCCATTAACTTATTTTGTCACTCTGAACACCCCATTTTTTTTAACCCTAGAATTCCTACATAAAATCTAAGGTCTCTTTCAAAAGTCTCTATCATATTGTATGTATATGTATTTTTATGTGCATATGTGTGTCTCTGTGTGACATTTACGGAACTAATGCTCAACTCAAGAGTGAAAAAGAACTTTTAGTAACAAATAAAAGAATAAATAAAAATGACTAGTTTTCCCTTTAGGATTCTGTTATCTCAGTAGAAATAGATGCTATCCAAGCATAATAATAGCAAAAAGATTAGATGTCACAGCAGATACATAACAATCACTTAATTTTACAGGAAGCACAAATGTGATGCTCAAGTGGTCACAGTATTTTGAAACTCCATTTTCTAAGAACCAAAGGGCCCCATGGTATAAATTAAGAGATAAATTGACTACTTACAAGGATATAATTCAATGAATCTGTCCATGTCTGATGTCTTGGAGGTGTTGAGATGCTGAACAATGTGCTGATCCGTATCATACTGAACAAATAACTGAAATAAAACAATTATAGCAACCTCCAGGCCAATGGCTATTAGTGGAAACGTGAACCTCATGTTCAAGGCAAAGGCCAGAGATGCACTGAAGGGTTCTCAGGCTGCAGAAGGTTGATAAGAACAGAGGAATTTCTCTGTATGTAAATTAGACTACATATTCAAAGTACTTCAGTGACATGGCAAGAACAACCAAAAAGGGGCCAATACTGCTTTGAACATCTCAACCATTAGGAACTCTAAGCTTTATAATCTAATTGCTGTTTTCAATATTGGCTTGAAGACTATACAAGATAGATTTTAAAAAAAGTCAGATGATGGACTTAGTCTACGGCACAAAAAATGTCTAGAAGTTCTTTAACTTAATGCAACAAATATTTCTTTAGTGCTTATTATACACCAGGTTCTATGCTTAAATAAGTACTGTGAAAGGAAATGTTCTTGAGGGATTTGAGTCAAGTAGAGAATATAGAAAAATAAGTAGATAATATTAAGAAAGAGATAAATTATAGAAAAGTGGTTATATAAGTATTAGAGAACACAAATAAGGCGGTGTTACTACCTTATACTCACAAGGAAAGTGAGAGTGGATGAGGGTGCTGAAAATGTAGTGGTCTTTCACCAGGTAAATAGAAGCAATAGCATGAGGCCTGAAAAAGTACAGGGATAGCTAGACTATATATGGAGACAAGAAGGAAAGAAGAAAATTTCTGAAGGTAAATGTAGCTCAATTATATGGAAAGGACTGTCTTTGCATTTATTATTAAGTATGCCTGTATTCTATTCTCTTCCTTCCTCTATAGGTAAAAGAGGTTGCTGTCGAGGAAATTCTGACTCATA